TCATCTTTCCCTTTCTTTTGATCTATTTTGTCCTTTAGGAATGGAAGCTTTTCGGAGACGTCTTTTTGTACAGTACTTTGCATACTGTAAGTGCTATTAGTAACCTTAACAACAAAAGTTAGTTTGAATTTTACTTCATAATTACCCAAGTAACTTATAACTTCCTCACATCATTATGCTGAACAAAAAGGGAGTCATGATAAATATACTTCAAATTGTTTTAACTTTATATTTTCACTGTACAAACCTTAACGAAAAGGATATTGTACAAATCTTAACCAATGTGTGCATTTTGTGTTCACTCAACCCTTCCAAGCTTTAAAAATTCAGTCTTTCGGAGAGTCAGTACATTACATCACAGGAAGTCCATTCACTGCACACTACAGGAAAAAAAGTATTCAGAACTTTATGCCAAAGTTGGGATTTGTTGGAAATGCCTCAGTTCTTTGTAACTCATTTAAGAGAGCACTTGTGTCATGCCACGAAACAATTCTGTGAGCCTGCCAAATGTGTCAGCCTAAATTATATATGTATTTCACCAACTTCAAAGCGCTGCCTGGAGATGCTGCTCTAAAATAATTTAAAGGATGGGCAGCAGGCTAGGACTTTGCAAGCCAGAAGAATGTAATGAAAGATAAAAGAGTGGTGCATGCTGCCCCCTAGTAATTTAAGAGGAGTTAGAAAAGATGGATTTTGAAAGAGTACATCTGCTCAGTTAAACACTTGTCTCACAATCAATCAATTTAACAGAAATCCATGTTTCATATATAATTGCAATAAGGCCTGCAAGAAATGCATGCCAACAACTTCAACTGCATTCACAATTTATCTCAATCATGTTAGAAGCAGACTAGAAACATTTTATTAGGTAATTCATCAGATAGAACTTCTAGAGCAGGGTAAAATGTATATTGCCATAGTGGTAAGAGAGGATGTGATATTTCTCTGTCTGGTCTAATGTGATTTATAGCAGCAATAATTTAGTCATAGCTCTAGAGAAGACTTACCAACCTAACAAGAAGACCAAACCCTAAGACAATACTTTATGCAACTCTGCAGAGGATACATAACACTGGGTGACTCACAACTCAACCCCTGCATTCACTCTCATCCTTTGAGAAGGAAAATTTTCCAGTCAGATTGGGATTTATTTTTATTAAATCTGGCGTGCATTTTCCAAATTTTCCAAGTCAACGTCTATGTATGATGTTAGGAGGAGAAGAATGTTTGGCTCACCTTAGTAAAGATGAGTTGTGTGCAAAAAATGTTTTTATTAAAGAATAATGCATTTGTACAGTGATATTCATTTATGTACAAGTGACTGCTTCATATTAAGGGATGTAAAATTTTGATTATTTTGGCTAATCAAATAGTCGATGCAACTAGCATCGACTATCTGATTAGCTGATAATGGCGCTTCCACTACACTTCAAAAGGCGAAAGTGCTGTAGGGAGCTCAGGGCCACTGGGGCACTCAACCAGTCTCCCACTGACCCCGAAGTGGCAGAGCCACATGGAGCCCAGGATCATCGGGGAAGTGCCCAGCTGACCCCAGGCTCCCTGCAGTGCTGCTGCTCTGAAATGCTGCAGGGAGCCCGGGGTCAGACTTCCTGCAGCATTTCAAAGCAACGGGGCCACATGGAGCCGGGGATCAGTTGGGCACTCCTCTGCTGACCCCAGGCTCCATGTGGTGCTGCTGTTTTGAAACAAGCTGGGGACTCCCAGCTGGCCCCGGGCTGCATGCAACATTTTAAAGTATGCCACTTGGAGCCCAGGGTCTGGCCCTATGCTCCATGCAGCACTGCCGCTTTGAAGCGCCGCTTCTCTCCTCCCCCTTGCTGCCTATTTCTGACAGAGGCAGCAACCGGGGAACAGGGGGCAAGCAACTACTCGACTAGCCTGATGACTATCCGATAAGCATTTTCTTATCTGATAGTCGACTAGTCATTCACATCCCTATTCATATTTGGTGCTCTTCTCCATACTTTTTATTTTTTTCCCCCATGCCAAAAATATGAAATAGTAAAATTAAGTTAGACTTTTAACATTACAGTACTACAGGGAATCTAAATCCATATGTGAAAACAGGACGACCCTATATTGTTTAATGTCTACAGAACTGCTGTTGATTTCTCATTCCTTTTGTCCCCTGGAAATTATGACATATTTAGATTTAAGGCCTGAAAATCAATCTGGCAAAGGCACATTTAGCAGATTTATTGAAAATTCATAACTTAAAACAATTTTTTTATCTGGTGATTCTCAAACTGTACCAGGCACTGTCCAAATACACAAGAATACAAAATCCTTATCACAAAGAAATTATCTTTAATGTGCCAGAAATTATTATTGCTAAATTTCAAGTATACTGCAAGAGTAGGCTTTTATAAGTGACCATTTGTATAAGTGGAAGCTTAAAAGATCTACATTGAGAACCCATGAAATAACAGTAATTTATTTAAAACAGTACATTTCATGCATCCAGAAGTAATGCTTTTTCCGCTCCAACATAAATAAGGTCTAAACCAGTTATGAAGAAAGCTAAAGCTAGTCTGCCATTCTGTACCATGTTTTGTGCATGCTAGCAGCCTCCCTGCCCAACAAGTAAGGAGCTTGGCTCACCAAACTGTCTGCATTTAATAAAGAGTCTGCATGCTTTGCTAAACTTACTTATTTTTCTTGGCAATTTTCTTAAGCAATCCACAAATTAAGTCCATCAACAAAGCAATTTACTTGCCATTTTGTTTACGTCTTATATAAACCTTTGTTTCATAGACACTAAATAGGTTAAACACAGCATTAAAAGCTGAAACTGGATAACACAACAGCACCCACTTCCACTACTGTATTTAAGTTAAGTGTCAGCATTTTTCATTAAGAAGTGGCAAAATTTTTCTCCCAGGTTGCAACTCAGCACACAGGGTCTTGTCAGAAGAGAACCAGATCCATATATACCCTTCCCCAACAAGGCACTGTCTGAGGAAAAACCTATTCAGTAACTTGAGTGGTTATTTTCTTCTAGGAGTTTAGGTTTTTGCCACCTTACAGCTTGCTGCACTTTTATATGTTTTCCAAATAAAAACTATGCTTTTAGGCCCTGATCCTGCAAACAGAACCCTCCAACTAGGCAGAATCCCATTCAAATTTTTGAAACATATACTGGCTGCTTTGGCTTTTTTTAAAATATAACACGACTAAGGTGGCAGTATGATACTAAAAGAAATGTGCTTCTATCTCGGCATGTTGCTTAAAATGGGAACATACTCTCAAGATGACTTGATAGCTGTGTGGGAATTTTAAAACCCCAAGAATATCTTTTTTTTTCATTTTGCACATGGATTTTCCCCAGTCTTCACCAAGAACTAGTAATACAAGTGTAATTGCAAGAAACCCACTTACACAAGGGGAGGGTATGCATAGCCCCATTATTGATCTAGCATAGGTTACATATCTACTATAATGGTAAAGGAACAATTTGCTCTTAGTAAGCAGTGGAGGGAGGTATCCCCCCAAAATAAAGAGTACTTAGACAAAGCTGTCAGGTCAGATAATTACTTTTTTTCCCCCTTTTATGAGTTAAAAAGTTACTTAGAATTCTGCAGATTTGATGGTATTATCCTCTAGGATTCTCTCCTATGTCTCAAGTTCCCAGGGCTTCAGATTTGCTTGTTTGGCATGATATACCTTACCCACCCCCCATTGGGAGGTCAGCCCACACAAAAGTGGAGATGTGCTACAGATATTTAAAAATACTACTGCAATTATCAAACCCAACTTTTCTAGTATGGTATGAATTATTGTGTGATGAGTGACAACAACATCCTCACTGGCAAATTTACTATGGCCTGGATCCTGCCCTGGGGCAAGAAGGCTAATAGCTGAATTTTCTTATAGTTCTCCTACCTACTTAGTTCTCTATGGGGGACAAGCCAAGACTTTGGAATCCTTAGTTTGTGATAAGTGACCCAGCTCCCTGAAAGTAACAGCAGCCTTACTCAGGCACTCCACCTTAACAGCAGCAAGAAGGGCACCAAGCAATGTTTCCTGTAAGCCATGTACTTGTGTGGCTTCTCAAAAGATTCAAATGCTGCCCAGCTGATTAGCAGAGCATCCACAGCTAGGTTTTGTATATCTACTGCTGGTGCACATTTGCAAATACCTTAGTGCACATGAAAAAATTATTCTGCACATGGATGGAAAAAATCTGCAGATGGATGGAAAGGATTAGAGTAGTGTTTCTCAAACTGTGCTCCGTGGAGCCATCTCCAGGGGCTCCGCAAGGTTGACAAACTGGAAACATCAATAGGTACAACACATACAATCAGTGGACCTCTGGGGCTCCGCATAAATTTTTATGCATGTAAAGGGCTCCGGAGCCCAAAAAGTTTAAGAACCATTGGATTAGAGGAAACATTGGTGACAAGGCCTAATTTGGAAGAATTACAAGCAAAAGAAGCAATCTGCCTGACCGAGGTCAATAAGAAATATGCCGGAAGGACTAAAGAAGCAGCAGTTGTTCATGTACAGAAAGCAAGCATGTCTATAAGATCAATAAGAAATATGCCGGGAGGACTAAAGAAGCAGCAGTTATTCATGTACAGAAAGCAAGCATGTCTATATGCACTCTGAGGAGCGACAGGGTTTCAGTTATACAATTATAATTTCTCAAGAGCTCTAATACACTCTGGACCAGATTTGTAAAGTTATTTAATGAACAAGGATTTACCCACTATTACCATTTATCAAGTAAATAAGCATTTCTGGAGTTACTTGCTTATGAAGTTGGGTATATTTCCTGAAGGATGTAGGCTAAAACATCTAAAAGGTTGGATATTATAAAAATTAAAATAATTAACACTCTAGGACTTTGTCTAAATAGAAAAACAATTACAGAAATAGCACCTCTTAAGAGAGCAGGCCAGGGTTCTTTCAGAAAATCATGAATCCTTGGCACAGAGTAGATGAAAAACTCTTGTGCATGCTCAGTGGGGTTCTCTTACCTTTGGAGGAATCTTTTATGACAATGTCAGAGATTTCAAAAAGTTTCAGAGGTAAAGGCATCTTCCTATTAGCAGCAATGGTCTTCAAGAGGCCAGGCAGGAGGCTGGTGCGTGCCACCTGCAGGTCAAACATGAAATTGCACATGTGAAACAACCTGTCAGGTTGCTTATTACATACGTGCTTTGTCTTTTCTAAGTTTGCTTATTTGGATTTAATTTTAAAGTGGCCAAATGAAATGATGCAGTAGCAATTTTTCTCTCTCATGTTAGAATGATTAAACCTGAAAATGTAGATGTTATGCCCTTTCTGCCCAAGGATCTTAAACTATCTTATGAATGTGCATGAACATTCCTATCCTCATTTTGCAGCGGAAACCACAGAACACTTCAGCAGCTTAGCTTGCACAGTACATCCATGATACAGAAAGAAAGAAACCCCAGGACTTCTCATTCCCAGTCCCAGCTAACACTGCTTTCAAATACACAGATTGAGAATTTTTCTAATGAACTAAAATAATTCATACATATTTTTTATGCAAAGTAACATGTATGGTCAGTTATACTTCCAAGGAATGTATTGTTTTGCAAGGCTCCTCATGAATTTTTAAGCAAGAGAATCTCTGAGGGATGGAATGCTTCCTCTACATCTCATGGTCAGTGGTTCTTGCTCCAGAGTAGAGGATCAAGTGGCCAGGAGCTCAGCAGCTCCTCTGTTTTGCAGAACTGGATCTATAATGGACAACTGAAAGCTATTTATTTATGAGTAGTGGAAGTAGTGGGGGGAAAAGATCTATCTGGGTTCAAGATTAAACTAGATGGGATTATGAAGGGGATGGTTTGATGAGACAACATGATCTTGGTAACTAATTGACCATTCATTATCAGTGGGAAATAGGTCAATGAAGGGATGATAGGAGTTACTATAGAGAACTTTCTGGGTGTCTGGCTGATGAGTCTTGCCCACATGCTCAGGGTTTAGCTGATCGCCATATTTGGGGTCGGGAAGGAATTTTCCTCCAGGGTAGATTGGCAGAGGCCCTGGAGGTTTTTCGCCTTCCTCTGTAGCATGGGGTACAGATCACAGCTAGAGGATTCTCTGCATCTTGGGGTCTTCAAAGTATTTGAAGGCTTCAATATCTGAGAGATAGGTGAGAGGATTATTCTAGGAGTGGTGGGTGAGATTTTGTGGCCTGCACTGTGCAGGGGGTCAGACTAGATGATCATAATGGTCCCTTCTGACCTTAAAGTCTATCAGTCTATGAGACAGCTGTGAACCAACCTTAAAAACTCAAGACATCAACCAAAAGACTGAGTGGTGTAAAAGTATCAGCAAAGAGAGTAGGGAAGGTGGCAGCCAGGTATGCAAAGAAGTTAAAATATGGGTTTAAAGTTAATGTTTAAACTTGGATTTAAGCTGTTGGGGGCAATATATCAAAGTTTGATCCTACAAAGATAATTCCTGTTTATCCAGAAGGTAATATTAAGATGACTTCTGAATAATCATCTATATGACTGCTGTTCCAATAGCACAGGTAATAACATTAGATACTACATTGCAATACGCTTAAAATATATGGAGAGTCTACAGTGACTGATAACTAGAAATACCTATAATAGATATACAAGGAAACAAACACCAGGTATTTTCAGTGTTATTTCTAGGGTTGTTGCACAATCAAAAAACTTAATGGTGTGATGAATTGCACTGTTAAAGAAGTTTTTTACATTTTCAAATATATTGATAAATTGCACTGTTAAGGAAGTTTTTTACATTTTCAAATATACTGATTTCAATTAAAATAAAGAATATCAAGTCAATAGTGCTCACTTTATATTTTTTGTTTACAAATATTTGCACTGAAAAGAACAAAAAATGTATTTTTCAATTCATCTTATACAAGTACAATAGAGCAACATCTTTATCATGAAAGTTGAACTTACAAATATAAAATTATGTACAAAAAAATCCCACATCAGCAGAGTGAAAGCATATCCTCTGAAAGGGTGGCCTAAGCATGAAGGGGAATATGAATGTTTAGCATATCTGGCAATAAATACCTTGCAACACCAGCCACAAAAGTGCCACAGGAATAACCTTGTTCACTTTCTGACAACATTGTAAATAAGAAGCAGGCAGCAGTATCTCCTGTCAATTAAACAAACTTTGTTTGTCTTAGCGATTGGTAGAATAAGAAATAGACCTGAGTAGACTTGTAGGCTCTAAAATGTTACATTGTTTTGGGTGTAGTTATGCACAAAAAAAATAAATCTATATTTGTAATTGACACTTCACTATCCACACAAAAAAAAAAAAAATCTATATTTGTAATTGACACTTCACTATCAAGAGATTGTACTTCAGTATTTGTAGGAGGTAAACTGAAAAATACCATTTCTTTTATCATTTTTACAGTGCATATATTCGTAATAAAAAATAATAATACAAGATGAGTACTATACATTTTTGTTTTCTGAGTTGTAACTCAAATCAAGATTGAAAAAATAGAAAACATTCAAAGATATTTAATACATTTCAGATGATGTTCTATTGCTTAATACAATTAATCACGAATCATTTTTAACTGCAATTAATCAACAGCCCTATTTTTTTTTTCAAATGCAAGTCAGTGTACTGCCTTAAAATGCAGTCTTAATAAAGTGCCCTAGTTTTTTAGATTAGTCCCCCTCAGGAGGAATTTACAAATCATGGAAACACTTATAACGAGCTTAGATTCTCAAAAAGTCTGGTTTCTCTAACCTATATTTTGAGTGAAACTTAATCTTTCTGCTGAATTTTGGACATTGTAACTGCTCTAGATTCTGCTGATACAAATGGACAGTTAGTGATTTAAGATTAATAGATCATAAACATGGAAATTATTGTAACTAAACAGGGCCAAATTTTGTCACGCCTAATTCCACTGAGTAGTATCTTATTCCATTAAATTTGCTCTGTGTAGAATATTAAGTAAAGAGAAACAGAATTAGACTCTCAGAAGTAACTGCAAGCAACTCTATTTTAGACGTGCATAAGCTCTCTATTGATTTATGACTGCATTAAAAACTACCACCACATTTTAAGCGTTTTTTCTTTCCTTGGACTTTAAATACGTTGCTATAATGTTATCCTGTCAATTAGTAACTACCCTCTAAGATCATTAAAGAATCTGGTAGTTCAACAATTAGACCTGAAGTTAAACTTCTCACCTGAAATTCTGCTGTTTTGGGATTAGCTATATGTACTGCTTTTGTTGCAGAGATATCCACACCAAGTTTATCAGCAATATCTTCTTGAGAACACTTCCAAAAGAAAAATAAATCACCAGCCAAAGGGTTAAAATATACAGAGAACCAATGATGGAACTTAACAACAAGAACAAACAATGCAAGATGAGCAATAGCTCTGAGGCCTCTTAACATGACCCTCTCTGATCTGCAATACTTACCTGTAAACATAAAAGAAAGTGAAGAATGAAGCCTCAGCCTTAATCTAAGTGAGCTGGTTTATTTATGCATTAATTACTAACCAAAAGAATGTTAGTTTAACAGGAAAAGGCAAGAGTTCATTAGCTTTTATAAGTATTATTATAAAATACTTTAAAAATTAGAGGACAGATTCCTCCCTTCTGATTTCATTCAGTAGGAACTTTTTCTGTAAGTAGTCCCAGTGCAATCCATTCTCTCCACTGGGTCTTTGCACAGAGAAAACAATCCCACTGGGACTACTTGCAGAAAAATGTACTACTGTGCATTGTAAGGTTCACACAACTTAGCCCTCAACTATCATGGCTCCATTACGTTCTCAAAGTATTTTCAAAAAGCTAGTTAACTAAAATAGTACATGTGACCTGTTGAGCTCACTAACCAACTGTGCACACTGAGTGACAGAAACTACCATTGGTACAGCTAGGCCATTGCAGCCACATTAGGCTGACGGGAGAAAACTCTTCTGTTGACATAAAACAACCTTGACGAGTGGTGGTGGCTGTGCTGGCAAGCAGAGATGTAAAGGTTTAACTGGTTACCCAAATAGTGTCCAGCCAACCCGAGCAGCCCTCTGCGCTGCAGGCTTTGGAGGGGACTGCTTCAGCCTGGCCAAACTGGAGAAGCCCCACACCCACGGAGCAGCACTGAGGACATTGTCCAGCCCGGACCCACATGCCTAGCTATAGGGGTGAGGTCCAGTCTGGCTGGGCCGGAGCAGCTCCCCACCCACACCATGATGCAGCAGGCCCTACCCGACGCAGCTAGGCCCTTTGCGCTGTTGGCTGGGAGGGCTGCTCCATCCTGGCCGAACCAGAGAAGTCTCCCGCCCGTGGTGTAGTGGGCCCTATCTGACACAGCCAGGTTCATGCCCGTAGCTGCAGGCAGGGAGTGCTATAGCTCATGGTGAAGCTGGGACCACCAGGCCACAGGGGGGCTGCTCCAGCACTCCCCTGCCCCTGCCACAGAGGGCAGTTAACTGGTTAAACCCACAGTTTAACCGGTTAATAATTTCCATGGGATTTTACATCCCCACTGGCAAGAGACCCTCTCCCACCAATTCAGGACTGAGTGCACGTGCGCACTCATGCCAGCAGAACTTATGTCACCCAGAGGGTGTTTTTTCACACTCGAGTAACAAAGGTTTTGCCAACATAAGTGCTAATGTAGATATGGCCTAAGATTCACTGTTCAGATTTCCAGAATGTAGCACACTACTAAACACTAGGAAACTGATACATGTAGAGTCTTCATGTAATTGAGAATATGCTAATATTCTGCAGTTCTCCCACAATGTTCTACTTGTGGATTGATCAAATGTGAAAAAAAGTTGGCAGCTGACACCCTTGGAAAGAGTAGGCTTCTGAATGAAAACAAGTAATCTTAAATTACTGTTGAACTTTGCAGAAAATATTTTTAAAAAAATGATCATATATATGTCTAGCTAAAATGTATTAGTTGATAAGAACTCAATGTTACTCTTTTGAAGCCATAGTTTTGGGCGCAAACCAAAGAACAGATTACACGTGAGAATGAATAATAGCCATTTCTCATCCAAAATGTATTACTGTACTACTACACTGCATATTGGTATAGAGAAAAATAACGTGGCTATTATCCTGGCTAGTTGACAGGGGCTGTGAACTAGTTAGATTGGCCAAAGCTGAAAAGTCTGGTCTAGAATCACATCTGAAGCATGTGGAAGAGACAAAAATTTGAAGCAAATTTTATAGTTTTATGTTCTCCCACTACATTGGTATTATGGTACTTAGTTTCAAATGGTAAAATTTTCAAATGCACTTAAGCACTGTAGGAACCTAATTCCAACTGAAAGTCAGTGTCATAAGCCACTTAAATGATTTGAAAATGTTATCCAAATATTAAGTGTGAATCTGATAATGGTCTCTGAAAGGATGACTATACTTTTAGACTGCCTGTGCATGTATTTTTTGCACCATATACAGGGTCAATTATTACTTATGCAAATCTCATGCATTTCTGAAAACCCTTTCTACATCTAGAGCTACGCAAGTCCAAGGGCACACACTGGTTCAAATTCTATGGCCACATTAGCTTGTGTGGATCCACCATAATGTTCACTGTAAGTATTTTTATTTTAAAGAATAGATTTAGCATATTAAAAATGGTTTAAAATCTACTCTCAAGAGTTGCTGTACATTGATAATATCTCATCTGCCAAACCAAACATGGTAATTTTTAAAAATATATTTTTAAAAGTTACTAGTCTTTATTATCAACTAATTGTCTACACAACTCTAATTTTCAAAACTACATTAACTGCAGTTATGGATATAACTGTAGTAAGAAGTATTCTCTGCTGTGGAACTCTGACTCCTTGGAAAAGGCCTGGTCTCTACTATAATAGTCTACATCTGAGGCCTTATGTACTACCATTGCTTCTCAAGCAAGTATTCATTGACAAGTTACAATACCCAAGGGCTCAGAATGGAATGGCCTTGAACTCTGAACTGCAGTGGTATGTACAGGATATCACTATCCAATTTTGTTTCCCTGTTATTAAACTATAACCGTATGCATTTGTCAAGTATCAGAGGGGTAGCCGTGTTAGTCTGAATCTGCAAAAGCAGCAAGGAGTCCTGTGGCACCTTATAGTCTAACTGATGGTCTATAGTTAGTCTATAAGGTGCCACAGGACTCCTCGCCGCATATACATTTGGTATGCTATTGAACTCTGGCAATCCTGAGAAATAGTCTTGCAGTCTTCTAACTCAGTATTATTTATGCACTATTTAAGTTAAACTTAAAACAGTCCATTTCAGCATCCATATTTCACCTCTGTTCTTTGAAATATATGCCAAATTAGCAGTCATTCATTTAATTCCTCTGAGGACATGAGCTCACTCAACACATTATATTGTAATACCAAAACACAAGTAAACAAGGATGTGCCAAAACAATATCGCACAACATAGCTTCATTACTCTGCATAATACCATAAGGCTATTATGTACTGATTTGGCTCCATAATTGTTTCTATGTACAACCCCAAACTCCCAACATTAATAAAACATACCAAAGCAAAAGTGAGTGCTTCAGTGAATCCTGCAGCTGCTAAGTCTTGTCTCAGAAGTTCTGTGAGCTTATTGAGAGGAAACTAAAAGAAGAACAAGACAGTTTTAATCTTAAATCTGAAAATGTGTCATGTTTTTCCTGGACAATTCTGCATGGTATATTACAGTGCTAGGAAGGTAACCATACTTTGCATGCTTTAAAAAACAACAAAAAGCACCAACAAGCTGACTGAGAAAATTAATATTCCAATTAGAGATTCAATATCTGGTCCAAGTTTAAACACTGTCTTTTTTTCCCCCCAAGATCAGCAATGACGGGTCTTGGCCCTACTCAGATCAGATGGGCATCTGTTTTTTATCCTAGCTATGGTAAATGCCTCTAACAGCAAAGCGTGTCCAAATATTGGTTAATTCTTTGGCTCTGTTTTTCCCCAACCCTCTGGCATACACTAGTCATTTACTGACAGCAGAGTACTTATTTATAGGGACAATCTTACTTGATTGGCTATGGTGTATGTCTTTGGAATAGTCATCTGAATGTTGTTATAACCATAAGCAACTGCTGCATCTTCTATAATATCACATGCATGGATAATGTCTGGTCTGGTCGGAGGGATTTCAATTTCTATATTGTTCCCATTCCCTGTGACATGTGACTTCAAACACATCCTGGTCAGCAGCTTTGCAAGACTTGATGGTGTTTCGCTAAAACAAGACAACAGAGTCAGTGTTCAGGGACTTTTATATCACACTGATTAGCTTTAAAATAAAATGCTATCTTTAATTTGCACAGTGCCTTCCATGTTAAAGAATTTCAACGTATCTTTCAAATTATAAATGTATGTTTCTCTATATATCTCTGCCACTTGAGAGAAAACAGGATAGCCATTCCTTGCCAGCAACACTTATAGGAGGGAATGAAAAAAAATCACTTGCTCAGATGAAAATACACAGAGCATCTTAAGTAGTTGATGTAATTATTCAAGTTAACATGACAATTTTTAGTTCAATTTAAAACTTGACTGAGCACACAATATGTTATAAAAATATAAAAAAAAACCGGTGCTTAATACCACAGTTCAATAATTTCAATTAATAAAAGCTAGATTTGGACAACACACCTGATTCCAATTTTCTTGTTAATTAAATCAGGTTTCACCTTTTCTCTTCGATAAGCCAGTTCCTGCAAGAAAAAATAAGGATTTACACAAAGATAAAATTTCTATCTACTAATTTCCAACTATGACATCTTTCTAATCTAGCTTCTTCTGACATCACTGACCAACAAAAAAGAGAAGTTTGTAATGTGGGGCTGGGCATAATATTTTAAAATAACCATAAAAACACTTTATGTAACAGAGCACAAAATAACATCCTGACATTCTAGAATCAAGTTACTTTAATTAACCTATATGTTTATAGATAATTGAAATACCTCTCTGAACAGCTGACAAAAAGAATACCAAAACAAGGGTCATGCATGTTTTACCAGATGTATAAATCAGATCAGACATAGGCTTCTGTAAAACTCAATGCAGCTGTTGCAGCCAGAAAGAAGCAGGAAGAGAGAGAGAGAGATAGAGAGAGAGACACACACACACACACACACACACAAGACTATGTGATAAATTCATTAACAAAACTGTTTAAATACAAAACAAACCCTCATCAAGTATTATCTCAAGAGGTAAAAAGTGAGTTAGTTCTTTTGATGGATAAAGGCCTGGAAACTTTGTGGGTTAAGGTTTTTATTCTGCTTCAGAAATATCTGGAATGTCGTCTGGGTTTTTTTTCCTGGTTGCTGGAAGTTTGACCCAGAGATGTAGATACGTGATTCTTAAATTGAAGGGGGAAGAAATTTGGATCTAACAAGAGGGTTTTTTCCTACTGTTCATCTCCCACAGTAAGTCAAAAAGATACTATCAACACAAAAGATACGACTAAAAGATGTCTGGGACACTTTCCTTCTCTAGTAACTAAATTTCACTTGTTTGGTAGCTGTGCTAAGCCACCCAGATCTCCAGTTGTCCATAGATGCTTTCAGGGATCATTTCCACTCCATTTGTATTTAACAAAGCAAAAAAGGGACTGTTACTCTGATCCTGCATAGAACTCCCTGGGGCTATGTCTAAACTACAGCATTAAAACAAAAAAAAAAGTGGCCTTTTTTCGAAAAAACTTCACTTGCATCTAGACTGCCGTCACGTTCTTTCTAAATTAAACCTCATTTTAGGAGGAAGAATGCCTTTTTTCGAAAGAGCTCTTTCGAAAAAAGGTGTTCTTGAACACAAACAGGGCTTTTTCGAAAGAGAGCATCCAGATTGCCTGGGTGCTCTCTTTCGAAAAAGTAGATTGCTTTTACAAAAAAAATGATGGCTGTCTAGACGATCTTTTTCGAAAGAAGAGTGTAGTCTAGATGTACCCTGTGTGGGCTCTTGAACAGATGCAGATCCCCTCTGAAGTCCCTGTGCTTGCATTTGCCTATGGGCAGTTCCTTGCACAACTGGAGCTTCCAAGAGTAAAGGACCAAAGAAATAGCATTAAAGCTATTTAACTGAAAGGCATCAACAACTTTCCAGATGTGATAAATCAAAAAAGTTAAGCCATGTCTAATTTCAGTTGTCCAGAAGCTCATAGTGGGTGACAGTTGTGAGGAAAAAAACAAAAAAAAAAAAACTTTCAACTAAGCAACTATTATAGGAGAAAGCAGATTCTATAGGTTTTTTACCTAGATTATGTGCCTTGATAGTAACTATACTTACTAATAGATCAGACATAGAACATTTCAATGGATTATAAGCTAGAACAGTGGTCTCAAACTCATTTA